GGCCTGGTGAAAAAGTGTCTCTCTATGTCTTGTTTCCTTTGTTCATCAGACTATCCAGTGGACCATTTATCACCACAGGAGTTACTACCGAATTAAGAGCCAGGTAATAGTAAAGAAAAAACATTGACTAAACCAGTGCTATAAATACTAGTTAAAGCCACCAGTAATCATGATAATGGGATTAGGGGCAACCATGGTAGTGGTAGTTGTAGATGATGAGTTCCATGGCTATCATGGAGCACCATTTGGCATTGCAATAAACATCATGGTTCTTGAACTAACAGTGATGGCAATGTCAGAACCAATCTTAGCTGCAAACTCAATACAGACTACAAGGTAAGTGTGCAGGCCTCTGAGACTGCACAACACTGAAGAGTGGACCCATACCCTGACCTTCTCCATCAGGGAAGAAGTGAAGTCCTGGATGGAGAGCTGCCAGACTCCAGTAGCCTGCTTTAAGTCATGGTGTTAGGTGTTTTAGATTGGGTGTAACTTGGAAACAGACTGGGGACTATTTTAGGGCGGGAACATCTATGAGAAAGTAGTGGAAGTGTCGTTGAGCAAGGGAGAGGTCAATGAGACAGAGGCCACGGTTGATCAGTTGGGTACCCAGGACATCTCCATTCTGTTCCTCAGTTATTCAGAACTGGGGCTTTGCAGCTACAGACAGGGATGAAGGGCAAGAGTTGTGCCAAGTGTAGCTGAGGGAAGAGTGCAGCCCCCACGCTCGACAGTCTTTCGGTGTTTGCCTGGGGTGGTGGTTTTTGATACAATACCAGCAAAAAGGGGATGGTGTACACTTACTTCTTTATGGTAATTCAAGGTAAAGACCTGTGGAAATTTTCACTGCTGAGTACCCATCTTAGGGCAGTTGATCAGCTTTGATTTCTTTTGAATTCTGTAAGTATGTGTGGTGGGGGTGAGTTCAGGATCTCCAATGGTCAGACGAGGGTGGCAGACTCCCTGAAGCTGGATACAGGTGGGCTGCTGTAAGGGGTGCTGGGAATTGAACTCAGGGCCTCTGGAAGAGCAAACAAGAGTTCTTAACCACTGAGCTTTCTCTATAGCCTTCAGGTTTTTATTTATTTATTTTTTTGAAAAATGAACTATTCATTCTCTTCCCCTTCCAGAAGAAACTAAGGATTAGACATTGGGTAACTTCATCTCACTCGGACAACTGTTATGCCAACTCTAGAGGTCATTAGTCCATTTCCCACCATTTTCCACCATGAGACAACTATGTTTCCTTTAAAAAAAAAAAAAAAAAAAAAACCTTTGCATGTATATAGTGTGTATTATGTTGTAGAATATTATTTTAACTGTGTAAAGGTGGTTACGTTGTTTCTGCTGCCTTTGTTCACAATGCAAAGATGTGTTACATTTGTTTGATTAAATAAAATTAACCTGGAATGGGGAGGCTGAGTCAGCAATTAGCTGACAGGAAGTGGTAGGGAGGAGCTAAGTGTAGCGAGGGTTCTTTGGTGAGGGCTGAGCAGAACGACAGCCCTTTTTTCAGGAGACATGAATAAGAAGAGAAGGTTAGCTACTTGCTCTTCAGCCTGTCTGAGCTAGCAGGATCCATCTCAACCTCTGAATGCTGAGTTCTGTAGAAGGATTGAGATTTAGTTAGTTTCCTTTAGCAGCCATGACAGAGAAGGTGCCTGAGGGAACAGAAGTCCCACCTGGCTGCGGGGGTGTGGCCAAACTGCTGCTGGTAGCTGTGGAGTCCCAACTGCTGGTTGGGGCAGCAGTTGCTTTAAAGGTGCAGCCAGCGTGTTGAATGCAAAGCAACAGTATCACACGTATGTGCATGGTCACTGGGCATGTGAATGCCACAGCACGTGTGTGGAAGTCAGAGGACAATCATGGGTGTTCGTCATCACCTCTACACTGAGAATTCCCTAAAATTAGCAGGTAACAGCAAGTGACCTTGACTGAAATGCAAAAACCACCCAGCAATCACTTTCTACTTTCCCACCACTGATTCTGCTGCTGCTGTTAAATCTAGATAGTGTCAGTGTTCTGGGATACCATGAAGTAGTTTGGGAGCTCTTCTTTCTGCTCATATTTTATTCTTAATCTTTTTAAGAAAATAAATAAATAAAACTTCAAAAATGTTCTGATTACAGTGAATTCCACTGCATATTTGTTCCTCTAAGATTCTTTGTCTACGATTCAAAAGCCTGATGTTCCACACAAAAGATTTCCAACACAAATGCTCTGTCTTTGTGCAAGGAGACAAAATCAAGAACAATAACACAAAGAAGTGTCAACAGAACCCCCCTCTCCCCAGTTCTGCCTGACTCATTTAGAAACAGCACTACCTACTTCTCCTAACTTGCTATTTTTGCAAGGCCATGCTTTTCCAATAGGATTTCTCAGTCTGCCTCTCCTACTCTCTCTACTTCCTTTTCTACCTACCAGTCCTTTGGTTCAGTGTTCCTGAAACAATTACCTGGAAACTTAATGGCAGTTAACATGGACGGTTCAGGACCATGGACAGTGCCATGGTGACATCCTGTAATGGGGGCCAACTGAAAAGTTAGTGTATTATTAAACATATTTGTTGTGGTGCCTAAAAGTGGGTAAGGTTCTAGTCACAATAGTAAACTTCTGCATTATTTTGCTTCATCGACTGGAAAAACATTAACACTATCACAAAGGACAAATGGTTCATAGTAGTCCAGTGATTACTGAACGGATCTTTTAAGTAACTGACTGTCCCCAGTAAACAATCGGAAAGCAAATCTGTGTGTTTTAAAACTGCACATTTACAGTGTCAATGCAATTACCAAAGGTTGGGTCAAGGATGAGAAGTGGATATAACTTCACTATTTTCACTGGAGAGTGCAAGATCAGTTCTAGATATAAAACGAAAATTAGCATAGGCCATTTTTCTCCGATGATAAAAATACAACGTCCTTTGATGAGTGTGTCTTCACAACTGAACAATCCCTTTGGCCGTCTTTTGATCCTAGTGAACTGACAAAGAGGTCACATGAACTTTCACCTGAGAAGAAGCACCCTGACGACTCACTATCTTGTTGGCAGTCAGTGTCTGCTGCTCTAACAGCGGCTGAGCAGCACACAAGCTAATGCCCCCCACTGGTACACACGCTGCATGTGCCACTGCTTCTGGAAAGCTTTCCCACAGTGGACGGCCTCTTCCCGCTACTCGGTGTACATGGTGATCATGCTGACACGTACTCCTGCCTTGTCCTACTCTCTACACAGAGTATGTATTTAAAGACAAACACGTCAAGTGGTGCCAGGTAGCTCGCCTCCCTTCCATCTGCAGCAATGGGTAACACAACACACAGTAACAACCCACAGTCATCTGACTTCTAGAAACTCATCTTTGGCTGCTTGACGCACAGTTTGTGAAGGACAATGAACTCTTCTTTTCAGTGAGATGACACTGACCCCTCCTCCTTTTAGCTTGACCTCAACTGGACAATGTTCAAGTCACCCTTTACGTGCTGCCTCAGATCACCACTTCCTCAACTTACCCCTGAGGATTCTTGCTGGCAAAGAGCACGAAGGGATGAGGACTCAGGAGCCTTCTTCAAGGATGTGGGTGGAAATAGAAAGCCCGATTTGAACTCTTAAGAGAATTCTCATTCTTCCCATAAGTCATACAGTGCTCTTCTGTGGGGTCCAGACATGAATTTACCTTTTTATCCTACTAATATTGTTATATCACTTGGCACAAATAGAAAAAACAAACACAAGTTTGCCCACATGCAAATGATCACGTGTTGCTTCCAATGCGACTGGTCAGGCTGCTGCACAAGTGGAATCATGAGCTCATTCCTAGAATATGAATCCAACAGTGGTTTACATTCGTGTGACAAATCTTGACGTGTCATGAGAACCAGCCAGGTGGTCTTCGTATCAATCGCTTTTCCTACAGTCTGGAATGACCAAGGTGGAAACCCACTTCAGTACCAAACAAACATCTAACAGTCTTGTAGATCACAGGAAGGGAGAGGGACGCTTTGGCACATCCAGGTGAGGGACCTGACCTTGGCAAGGATTCTTCGTTGCTTTGCTAACCTTAAAGGAACAGCTTCTTCCAGGTTCTTACTCACATAACACAAACTTTTGGCTCTCTCTGCATAGGAATTCTGAGTTATTGCTGCCAGGTAGCATCAAGGCCAACCAAAACATTCTCAAAAAGTATTAAACTCCATGATAGTTTTATTATAAACAGTTTGATTTCACTCATAAGTCTCACTGCTAAAATACCTGTGAGATCGATACTCCATTTGTGGGTCCATGACAGACATATTTTTGCTACTTGGAATAGCACAAGTGATTTCCACTAGGGTCAAGTCAACCTTCTAAAACTGTAGTGAACGGACAGCTTCCCAGAAGCCTGGCTCTCCTACCTGATGCCCCAAAAAAACGACCTCAATTTAAATGAAGACGACATCCCATACACACGTGTCTGGATGTATTTCTCACCAGTAACGAACAGTCCCAGTAGACCCTTTGGACTAGTTAACTGGCAGGGAACACACTAATCCTGGTAGGACAAACCAATATCACAGTGCTCAATCGGGAACGTATGTTAGAACACCTCTAGAACTGCTGTAACAAGACAACTCTTTTAGATCAGATTGGGACCCCGTTTGTGGATCTAACCGGAGAAGGGCCCCGGGGTGCATGCCTCGAAGCCCTCCAATTCTGACTCAAATTCTGCCACCATTGTAATAAAGTCTATTTATTCCTCCCTACATGATATTTGAGCTCCTAATTTTGTTAAGACTCAAAATTATTGTGCCTTGTTATTGTTGTATTCACTGGAGTCTTCTTGTAAGACACTTGGAACCCAAACTAACCACGGACTCCAACATAAAAATCCTGAGTTACTTCAATTCTTCATTTGTAAACCCACACATGTACAGCAGCAGCCTACGTGATACGAGTGGAGGGCTCTCTCCATCACTAAATGATTTTAAATATCTAAACTGTTCATCAATAAAAGGAAGTAAACATTTTATATTTGAAATTTTATGGGCAGTTTATTAAGTTCAATGTTGAAAGCTATCAGAAGAATATTCTCCTGAAAAATATGTTTTTTTCTTAGAAAAAAATGAAAGGAAGATCCAAACCCTCTCAGCATAGCCACAGATGCTGTGGCAGTCATGCCTCTCTGGAGTCAGGGAGTCTGTTAGTCCGAGGAGTCGCTCCCTGGGGCCACAGGATTGTAGTCAGGATCGTCCTCAGCATCCTCCAGTTCCAAGTCATCCATTTCCTGGAACAAGGACTCATCCACCTCCACGTTGTTCCCGGCTGTGAAAAGCAAGACAGTCTCAGTCTCGCCTTACACTCGAGAACACACAACCATGGTGTGGGAGGGGGTGAGTGGTGACTCCCAGCTCCTGGGGCAAATCTTTTCCTAAGTTCATCAGCAGAGACTCTGACAACACAAGAGCACCTCCAGTCTTCATGTTCATCGTGTATTTAAAAAAAAGGCTCACAGAACACTTCAATGTAGCATGTTACAGTAGAAAACAAGACTCACTGTCTTCTACACAGTGGACCATCACTGAGCCCAGCCCCCAGATCATCTCATCTAGTGGTGGCAGATACACATATCATCAAGCTCTGCTGCAATTCTTAACTTTCTGTCGGATACTTGTATACTTCCATTAATATACAACAGAGGGCAAAGGTTCTAATGTGGAACCCTATGAGAAGCATCAGCCAGGCTCTGCCTTAGCATCACTACCCTGAGACGGCCTGAGGGAGACACAGTAGGATACACAGCACTCCCCAATCTGCACAAACGTTACCTTCCTTCCCTCTCGGAGTCTAGCTTACTGACATTCAATCCATAAGAATAGAGAGCCTTGAGCAGTTCAGAACTAAAACTATAATGTACCAAGTCCAGGCCAAAGAATAACTGACTTAGGAGTAGTGAAAGCTTCTCAAATATCTTCAGGGAACACCTAACTCCACCAAGAATGAAGCAATTCTAGATGTCTAGAAAAGGCAGAAGAAAAAGTAAGATCTTCATACTTCTAACAAGAAGACAAGCTTCTTGAAGGGAAATACCTGGAGGCAACACAGGCAAGGCCAGACTGAGAGACACTGGCGAGTCTTTTTTCCCCTAGCAACCAACTTCAAAGTTTTACAATTAAATAGGAGTTTCACCTTCTCAAAAGCAGAGCAGTAACTATAGACTACTGAAGGTCCTGAGAAGGAGAGAGAGACTCAGAGGCTGGAGAGATGGTAGAGGACCCAGATTCAATCCTCAGTACCCACATTGTGGCTTACAGCCATCTAACTCCAGTTTCAGCAGATGTAGTGGCCTCTTCTGGCCTCCATGGCAACTAAGCACACATGCAGTGCACACATACATGCAGGCAAACACTCATACACACAAAATAAACAAATCTTTTTAAAAAGGGAGAGAGGTTCAGAGAAATGATTTAGGAGGCTACAATAAAAGTCCAGGCAGAAATAATAGAGCCTTCAAATAAGAGGAAGAGATTGCTGGGAGACATTTCCACAGTAGACTAGGCAGGTCTCTTTGGGAAATCTAGAGATAAAGAGCTACCCTGACCTAAGAGATGAAGAAAGGAGTCAAGATCAAGTGAAGCCAAGCACGTTGGAGCACACCGCTAATTCTAGCACTTGAGGTGCAGAGGCAGGAGGATCTCTCCAAGTTCAAGGCTCGTCTACACAGCAAGTTCCAAGCCAGTCACTGCTATACAGTGGGACACTATGAGAGGGAAAGAGGGAGGGAGGGGGAGAGGGAGAAAGGGAGGGAGGGAGGGAGGGGGGGAGGGCGGGCAAAAGTAAAGATCCTAAAGTTCCTGAAGCACAAGAGAATGAGATGAGGCTTTGGGGAGCTGGAATTCCTCAGCAAAGCCAGAGAGAATACCCTACTGAATTTCTGCCTTTTTTTGTTTTGGTTTGTCTGAGAGCGTCTCACCCTGTAGCCTAGACAGGCCTGTAACTCACAGTGCAGAACAGTATGGCCTCAAACTTGGGCAATTTTGTTCAGTCTCCAAGTACACAGATTACAGGTGGTAAACTACCATGCCCGGCTTTGGGTTTTGTTTTCAAGACCATAAAAATAGAAACCTTGACCTATCTGCTAGAGAAGGTAATAATATACATTTGAGGGAAAAAAAATATTGAGGGCTGCCAGTGTAGCTCAAGGACAGCATTTACTTGCATGCACATGGCCTGGGGTTCAGTTCTTAACACCACAAAGAAAGGGACAGGGTGAGCGCCACTAAGTGCCCCTGTGAGGTCTAGAAGAATGGTTTAGCAGTGAGCGCCATCAACAGTGCCTACTCTTCTCCAGCAGATAACCAGGGCATGTCTGAGAAGCCAAACCTAGACAACTCCAAATGGCAGGGTAGGCGTGAGAGAAGGTTAAGGAGACCTACAACCCTAACAAAGTGCGACTGTGACCAGGCGTGACTAAGCATGGCGGCCAGTCTGAAAGCACAAGCAGGCCAACAGTTGTGCGAGGCAGGCAGTGGTCCACACTACCCTCTGCTGGGCACCGTGGAGGGAGGAAGGACAGCCCTATAAGCATCTGTGGATGGATGGGCAGCTGGAGATGCAGAAAGAACAGAGGAGGTAAGGGAGGAGCACAGGACAAGATGCCCTACAACTGCACACACAAGAGGAAGGGCCAGCTGCCCAGCAGAGGATGCTGGGAGTTCCACATCTGGGGCTTCTCTAAACCCAGAGCAGATCGTGGATTCGCTTTTCCAATGTCTGATAGAGACTTGTGAGGAAAATGTCACCTGAGCTATGCTGTCCCAGTTTTCCAGCCAACAAAGGCTCATGTATTATAACTGCCACCCTGAGAATGCTGAAGTCATCAGAAAACTTAAAAAAACACACATTGCTATACAATTTAAACATTTAGATAGAGTATATAAATTGATCATCTATTTGAACTTATCTTCAAAATGCCATTTTTAACAGGTTTGACAGGATAAATTTCCTCTCGATAGATTAAAAGATGACACATTACACCCACAAGGAAGTCTAACAGTATCTTACCATCCTCCAGGAACTGGATATCAGATGTGTCAAGATTATGATCTGTTTCAAATAACTGTTTCCCTAAAAGAAATAAATATGCTTAATTCAAATGGCACAGCATCCCTTCATCCCCTGCAATCACTTCAAAGAGTAAGAGCTCAATAAAACAAATCTGAACATCTGTATTGCGGGAATTTCAATAAATTTATGAATTTTGCAGTAGCTTAGCAGTTAAGACTTGTATTCACACTAAAACAGAAAAAAATGAAAAACCTAGGTTCCTCGGGCCTGGAAAACTATGGGTTTGATTCTCACACTCTGAAGGCTTTTGAGCCTCAATATTCTTATTCCAGGATCCAGAATATAAATCCAGAGTCACCAACAGAAAACAAAGATACAGCACACACAGTAGCTATGACTTGTGTGTGAAGAGATCATGTTCACTACGGCAACCTGTCCTGATCACCTTTGCTCTCAGGGAACGGCGCGGGGTGCGGGGTGAAGGAGTGACTATGCCCAAGAGGCAGCCATACCACTTAGTTTATTTTTCCCGGCTTGTTCTTCTTCTTTCATCCGTTTCTTTTTAATTTCCAGGAGTTCTGCATCAAACTTGGCCTTCCAACTCAAGAAATTCTCAATTGTAACAGGAGTGCCATGGAACAGTTTCTTAGAAAATAAAAGATACAGGCATCCTGTCAACGAGGCAGCAATTTAACAAGTCAAGCCAAGCGCTTTTGTCTTTTAGATATACACAAGCACGAAGGTGAAGAGCATTACTCATTTCTGCCTGGACTAGTTTAGTTCTCTTCAGTTTCAGCAGCTTACTCTGCAGAAGTCAAATTTTAAAAATCTTCTTCTAAAAATTAAAAAATAAAGATAATATACAATATACTTCCTGTACTCGCCATCGTTATTTATTATTAAGAAAGTTGTTGGTTGTATCATCTTTTGGACACACATCAACTCACAACACTGCCATCACTTTTCACTTTACTCAGAGCTTGGCTTGTCTCTGTATAATTAGCAGCTCACTGCGCCAGGACTTGATAGTTCAGTACCACACACCGGCGGCTCAAATGATTTACAATCTTGGTCTCACATGAGTGAGCTTTATCAGTCTGTCACTTGTAACTCACAGCATGTCACCAACCAAAATGTCATTCCTAGTAAAAATTTACTCATTAGTTTCACTATTGTGATTTCCAAATTATCAGAAAAAAGGAAAGATAAATATCAAACAAGCCAACAAAGAGATGTGAAGAAAATGAAGATTTTCAAGTATACCTTCTCTGCTTCTTCTGCTTCCTTTTCTTTCTGTTTCTTTTCTTCCTCTCTTCTGGTTTTTATCTGATCGACAATCTCATTTAGCTTTTCCTGAACAGCTGTCACAAGAGTGAAGATCATCACCATGCCAAGATTTTCCTCAGCCTGCATGAAACAAAGAGCGGTACCGAGAAGCTGCCCAAAGAACCAAAGTTTAGTATAACATCTAAACCCCATGTTTAGAACATGATTCCTCATTCAGTTATACCATATATTTGGATAAGTGAACATTTAAAATTTGAGTAGTGAGCCAGAAGTAGTAGCCTGTAAATCCCAGCACTTGTGAGCCGGAAACAAAGGATCAGAAAGCCTTGGCTACATAGGGAGTTCAAGGCCACCCTGGGTTACATGTGCCTTTGTCTTTAATGACTAAGACGTGGTCACAGGAAACAAGGAGGTATTGTTGTTCTAAAATCTGACAATATAGACTTCAAACCAAAACTAGTGGGAAAGATAAAAAAGGGTCATTTCTTAATGATTAAAAGAATTTCAAGAGGACATGTATGTCCAGAACAAAGATGGGTACATGCAATTTTGTAAAAACAAATACTACTAGATGTAACATCAAAGATTAATCCCAGCACCACACAGTGGATGACTTCAATACCCAAAAAGAGTTGCGAGCTGCCTTGTGGGTGCTAAGAACCAAACCCACGTTCTTTGCAAAGATCCAATTCTTGTTTTGTTGATTCTCTGTATTTTGTTTTGTTTTGTTTCCACTTCATTTATTGTGGCCCTACATGTAATGATTTCTTTCAGTCTACTGATTTGAGGGTTTGGGTCCTTTGTTTTCTATAGCTTTGGGGTATCTTTTAAGTTATTTGAGATCTTGCTTATTTCTTAATGTAGATAAAGCTATAAACCTCCTTCTTAGGACTGTTCTCATATTCTAAAGGGTCTGGTATGTTGTGTTTTCATTTTCATTTGTTTCTAGGAATGTTTTTATTTCCCTCTTGATTTCTTCAAGGGCCTATTAATCACGCAATAGTGTATTGTTTAATCTCTATGCATTTGTGTGTGCTCTAGAGTTTCTCTTGCTGGAATTATTTGTTTTCTGGTATATTCTGTGACTTGATCTGTGTGCTAATGTATGATCTGTTTTGGAGAAAGTTCCACAGGATGCTAAGAAAATGTATATTCTTCAGTGTTTGGATAGAATGTTATATAGATATTCTTTAAGTCCATTTGATCTATGATATCACTTAATTTAAATATTTCTCTGTAACTCCAGCTCCAGGGGGTCCAATGCCCACTGCTGGTTTTCATAGGCACAGGTACACACACAGTACAAATATATACATACAGTGTAGTACTGTAAACCTGGTCTAAAGCCCATGACTGGGGAGGTCACAGATCCTAATGGAGAGCCTACTCAGCTAAAGTTAAACAGTCTTCTAAGTACTTATGTTTGTACTTATAGATTAATGCTCTCCCAGTCTTGGAGAGAATCCTAACTGCCCAAAGTGCTGAAAATAAGTGACTGCTGACTCCTCATCTCTAAATGGCACATGTATATCAGCCCATTCTACCAAAGTTCAGGGACCATCATGGAAAAAGGTGTGGAAAGAGTAAGAGCCAGAGGATAGGGAGGTATTCTGTGTCTTCTGAATGACATGCCATTGAGTCATGAACTCATGACAGCTGTAAAGACATACACAAAATCTGTACTAGATTAAACCTGTCAAAATCCCAACGTTGAAGGTAGAGGACACAAGGCCCCACCCTCAGCTGAGGAGCTATGGGCAGCTGATAACTTCTACGGGAACGAGTCATGTTCCTTCGGGGTATGGCCAATGGTGGGTTGTCCATGCTCCCGTGAACAGCCCCTAACAAGGTGAGTAGATAACACTAACTGGTCTTCGTGAGCTCTTTAAAAGAAGGGCTAGAGAGATGGTTCAGTGAGGTTAAAAGCAAACTGCTCTTTCAGAAGACCAGGGTGCAGTTCCACGCCCCTGCATCAGACAGTCACAACTGCCTGTAACTCTAGTTCCAGGGGGACCCAACACCTCTGTGGGCACCTGCACCCCATGCACAGGGACACATATACATACACATAATTAAAAAGAAATCCTTAAAACAACAAAAAAGGAAGAACAGGATGTGAAGGTGGGAGGGGTTTTGTTAAGAGAGGGTCTGGGGTAGCATTATATACATGCATGAAATTCTCAAAGAATAAAAATCTTGTCTTTCTTAAAGATGTTTTGTGGTTGTGTATCATGAATTCTGATTGGTCAATGTACTATTTACATACATTTAAAAACATTTTCTAGCCAACATTTAATACTAAGGCCAATAAAATATGCTACTATAAAGCAAAATTATTTTCTTACCTGCAATGCCAGTAATTTTAAAATGTCTGAGACATCATTATCTTCTAGATTTTCCTGGGAGAATATTTCATAAAGAGGAGCTTCATCAGGGTATTTTTCACTATATGTAAACTTGAGAGTAGTCTGGACAGCTAAGGCACAAGATAAAAGTTTAATGGAAATACATTAAAAATATAAAAAAAATTCTGTGTTTCTACTGAGTCAATAATTTATAAAATCAGTAAAAAGTAGTACAATAGAATTACTAATTTAAACAACAACCTCAAAGAGATGAGTGAAACAGATCAAGGAAAGGCAGAAATCCCTTCCTGCCCATGAAACATATTTACCACCTAGGAGCATTTAACTATACTGTATTTCAGAGGACTGACAATATCATTTTGTAAAAAGTCCTGGCAAACAAAAACTTAAGTGAAAATAATATTAGCATTTTTGTTGTTCTTGTTGTTTTGTTTTTTTGAGACAGGGTTTCTCTGTGTAGCCTTGGCTGTCCTGGAACTCGCTCTGTAGCCCAGGCTGGCCTAGAACTAGTCTCACACTCAGCCTTTACTAGAGGAAGTTCCTGACCGCAGAGGACTTAGCGGTAGACTGATTCATATTCAAATACGCGCAATGATAGCAGGATGCTGATAACTGGGTGGCTAGGTGACACATTTTTACACCGGGCAGGTTGAGAGGTTAGCTGGGAAGTTTTCAGCTAGACTCATCTACACTAATAATCTTAACTTTATGCCATTTAGAAGTTCAATTCTTATGAGCACACTAGTGCAAGGTAAATGCTGCAACACAGCACATGGGTGCTCTGGTCCATGAACAGCATGAAGGCAGTCAAAAATGATAACCCTTTGTAATTCAATCTATGATCTTTTATTTAGAGTTTATCATTCCTGTTAGTCACATCTTTATTATTAAAGCCTAGTAATTAACAAATATATTTCTTTGCTTTGTAAGAGGGGGCTTGCCACAATGCACATGTGGAGATCAGAGAACTTATAGATGTTGACTTCCTCACCATGTAGGTTCTGAGAATCAAACTCAGGTTGTGAGACTTAGCAGCAAGTACCTTTTCCCACTGATCAGCCCCATAACCCACTAATTAAGATGAAATAATTCAAATCCATGTTGCTCTCAACTAGAAGGCCAAAGCCTTCAGGACTGATACTGTTTTAATTTTCATGTTAAATTTCAGTAAGTATTTGTATGGGCCTCTTGTAGTGCTACAACTCCATAAGCTGAGCACTCAGGAGGCTGACCTATGCGGATCATGAATTCCAGAACAGCCGCTGGGAATTGTTTTTTAAATATTAATCAAATTAGATAATTTTTAAAAGCACTAATGAACCAAAGCTGGGAACACAGGCAGCTCAGTGGCAGAGCGCTTGCCTGTGTGTTCAAGGCCTTCATTCAACTGGAGTTCTGTAAAATAAAAAAGCACTTGAGAGGCAGGCACAGGCAGGGGGACTGAGTGTGCAAGGCCACCCTGGGTTATACAGGGAGATCCCATCAGACCTAGATGCAAGGTTTCGGGTGTACTAGGTAAATTCTTAACACTGTGCTCTAGTCCTCAGCCAATAACAAATGAAAACCAGTAACTGCCAAGAGATTAAAATCACAAAAAGTAAACTTAACACATAGAATTCACCACAATCGGCATATTAGTATTTACCTCTACTCTCTGGAGTTCTAGAATTCATTGTCTTCATGTTCATTAACCCGAGAATATTTTTAAAGACACAGTGTAAACAACTGCAGTGAATTTTATCCTGCAGATACATTAAAATGCACTTAACTATTTTAAATAGTTACATTTTTTGTTTGTTTTTAAGTAGGTATTTTTGTTGCTACTATGTGTGTTATAGTTTCACTGCATAGCTCAGGCTGACCTTGAATTGAAAATTGCCTTGCCTCAGTCTCCAAAAGGATGGGACTCTAGGTGTGTATTTCTATACCTACTAAAAAGCATAAGCTTAAAAAAAAACAAAACTTACTGCTTCTACTATAAGCAATCCCAGGTATCCATTATAGAAAAGACATACCTACAATCTCCAACCTAACAAGTACACCATTCCAATTCCTTCAATATTAAAAGTAAGCCAACTTCCTTAAGAGTGTCACCACTTACTGGCTAAGACAGAACCAGTATGATGATTATGATTATGATGACATCCCATGTATCATTTACTTCCCTTACAATAATATCCCGTAAGCAGAAGTGCACAGAGGATTATTTTCTTATATCCCTTGTTCCATGATCTAACAAGGTTAATTCTTCAGTCGCTGATCCATGATCTTACACAAGTAAGTTTCTACAACCCTTGCTCCACAATCTAACAAGGGTAAATTTTTACATCCCCTGCTCCATGACCTAACAGCTATCCTGTACTAATCTAAACTCAAAACAGCATATTTCTCTACTTGCCAACACTGAAAATCTACTGGATAAGATGAAATATCTTCATTTTAATTTGCCTTAAGTACTAGTGACAAGTTTTTAAGTAATCATTTATAACTCCATGTCTAGAAACTATGCATCAATTTCCTGTCTACTCTTTTTACTAATCGGTTTATTAAGATGAAGTATAGGCCCAGAACTCAGGAGGCAGAGGCAGCAGATCTCTGTGAGTTCGAGGCCAGCCTGGTCTACAGAGTGAGTTCCAGGACAGCTAGGGTTGTTACATAAAGAAACCCTGTCTTGGAAAAAAATTTAAAAATAATAAAGTAAAATGAAGTATAGGAACAAAAACAGCATGACCTAGGTACTGTTTTAAACACAGTTAAAAAGCATTTCTCAAATTAAGAATGAACTGTTCACAACTACTACTACAGGAGTGTTATTTGCTCCCAACGAAGGTACTGTTCAGAATATGGGAATGATCTCCAGAAAGTTTAATAAGAAAATTAAATTTTGTCTCAATGAGTGCTGCCATGCCATTGTGCATACACACACAACATACTGGTTTCACATTGCCAACTGATGCTGAAGAGTTGGGGGGGGCAGGGTGAGAACAATATTTATTTGGAACTTTAATATACTAACATTGTAGAAACTTACCTATAAAAGTACAGAAAGAGTAACTTTAACAGTCTTTTCATTGACACTGCAAAATATCTCAATGTGAAACTCATTTTCCATAACATAACAGTTTTCAAGTGATAACCACTAAAACTGACTGATCCCTCCTGACAGAACTTGTTACCACATGAGAAAAACATTCTTGAGACTGTCAACTTATATGTAACTTTCAAAATTATTAACTGACTTAGACCAAAAATAGATAACCTTCATATTCTCACTAAATTTAACTTATTAGCTTACTAGTTTTAAAGCTATTTTATTTTGGGGGTAGGGAGACAAGGATAAGCAGATAGGTGCACATCCCGCCTGTTTATAACAGCAAATGCTCAATAAATAATCTACACTTCCAAGGAAAAGAGCAGCATTTGAAAGGTTGTAGTCACCTGACAAATGCTTTGAACAAAAATCTCCACCTTCTCTTCATCTGCTGTACTATCAACCTGAATTCTTCATTTTTCAACACCAAGCATACTGGCCAGACAGACTCCAGAGCCTGGGCTGCCTCTGTCCCCAGGAGTCACACCTCCACAGTAAACCCGGGCTTCAAACACAACAGTGGCGGCCCTCAGCACCTCCACCCCTGCGATGCCCTGCACAATGGCTGCAGAAGGAACCTAGAAAAGCAGCGGAATTTCATCGTGCTTACTTTCGTCATTTTCTCCAGCCTCTGACGTCACAGTGATGGTGAAGCTGGGCGGACTCTCTGATAATACTGCAAGAAAACAGACACAGCAGTTAGCAGGATGCTTCCTACAGCGGACACTCCCACTGGTTTATCGCTGCTCAGCACTAGAAATTCATACCTCACCTGTGTTTTCATTTCAACCAATACAGACTAACAGAACACTGAAATGAGAAAGCCATCATTTCAATCGAGAGTAATCTTTTTTTAAAAAAAAAAAAAAGATTTATTTATTCATTATGTATATAGTGTTCTGCCTACATGCCAGAAGAGGGCACCAGATAAAATTATAGATGGTTGTGAGCCACCATGTGGTTGCTGGGAATTGAACTCAGGGCCTACTGGAAGAACAGTCAGTGCCCTTAACCTCTGAGCCATCTCTCCAGCCCCGAGAGTAATCTTAATCTGCAAAGAAGTACCTTTAGTTAAACAACTCTCTAATCAATTAAGTATTAGATCATTTATATTTTATTCCAAAATCTACCAGTACATGAAATGCATTCCAAAAAAAATCCCAAACAGAATGGTAAACAAAAACTTTGGCATTTTTTTTTCACCAGCCACGCCCACTGATATATTCATGTTATGATGGATTATTATATTATCTTGTTATTTTCTATAAGTGAAGTCAAAGCTAATCTTTCCAAAAGTCTGGGCCTTTACCATCTTTCACACAATTAGAAAAGAAGTTAGATAAGAATCTAAACATCAAATTACTTAAAACTTACGAAGCCAGACATGTAAGTCAACATTTACATAGACAAGGAAGCTTGAGAGATCACTTTAGAACATGTCCAATAACATCTGTTGATCATCTACTCTCACACAAGAGTATTATAAAATGCTTGAGGAACCCCAAATCAGTGCCCAGCGGGGTCTGGAAAGTGAGCAAATACTGACTTAATGGACGAAATGGAAAAGGTAACAAAGGAAACGCTAAAAACCAAGTGAAAAGTAACCAGGAAGCCTCTAGCTGCAGGGGTGGCCACAGCGTCTAAGCCTTGCTCCGCCCCTGGGAAGCATGGCCTCAAGGTTGGCAGCAGCTGTGTGAGAGCTCTGAGGAGCGCAGATCACTCAGCCACTGTGGAGACTGCACGGCTTCAAACTGCCCAGGCACTTTCTGAAGCCACCACAGACACGTGTTATCAGTAATGTTTTTAAGATGGAGACCCTCATTGTGACTCGGGTTTAAAACACAATGATGAGCTGGGCGGTGGTGGCGCACGCCTTTAATCCCAGCACTCGGGAGGCAGAGGCAGGCGGATCTCTGTGAGTTGGAGGCCCGCCTGGGTTACACAGTGAGTTCCAGGAAAGGCGCAAAACTACACAGAGAAACCCTGTCTCGAAAAAACAAACAAACAAAAAACAAAAACAAAAAAACCACAATGATGCCCAAAAGATGAACTGGACTCAAACTGTCCATCACAGTCTCAGACAATACACCGTTGCTGAAAAGGCATTGGAAGCTTCTTAAAAGCTCCCAAATAGATTATTACCGATTTTAAATGTTTATTACACTACATTACGTACATTTCATTATTCTTCCTTAGCATTAACATATCATGAGATTTAAATACTGTGACACAGAAATAAATGGCATACCAACCAACAAGGACTCCAGGAGGCTAGTAGCCTAACAAACACAGCCATGCTGACTGAGCACCATGGTGTACGTGTGCTGTGCCATGCAGTTTAACAAAAATCCTTTAAATCCAATACCAAGATCATGGGTTTACACTCTTAATACAGTCCACCTAATTTAAGATATTAAATACAAAATAATTTACCTTATATACCACTAAAAAAGATGCCAATTAAACCATGATACGTAAGTTCTTATGTTAATCATGTTCAAATAAACGACTCGCGTCTCAGAAACAGTTACATCCATTGTCACCTCACGGCCACGGATGAGGACACTGAACCGCAGAGCTCTCTCACAAATTACCTCCATGCAGCTCTGCGGTTGTAAGTGGTAGTACGAAATAAACCACACAGGGCTTCGTTTTAAAAGGAAAAGAACATTTCCAGCTGATGAATTTCAGGACTGTTATTTGAATGGGTCTGAAAGCCATGAACGGCACAATAGGAAGTAAAGGGGAGGAAGGGGGATGTGTGTGAGGGTGGCGGGTCACAATGGCCGGGAAGCTGAACTGTTGTCAACCGTGGGATGGACAGACATAAGTGGAGCAGTGCAAGGACAGCTCACAGTGCAAGCCTCGGCAGGAACAGCTTCAGCAGCTGGAACCGTGGCTCTGCACAGGACAGTGCATCTAGCGAGAGTACACAGGACAGGAGGCAGGTTGTACAAGCAACCAGGCAAGGCTAATGAGGCCCTGAACTAGGATGGGAGCCATGGGAAGAGCAGGAAATTGTGATGACAGCTGGAGTGGGCAGCTGCGGATATGGTGCCACTAAGCCAAACAGGAGTGCGGAAGGAATGGGACGCCATATGTTAGAATAGAGGGAGGCCTGCAGGGAGGAGTGGACAATCAAAAGAGCCAACAGGAGAACCAATAAGGCCTCAGTTCAATCCGGATCTTCTGGTAACAGCCAAAGCTATCAGACCAAGGAGATGATTAGGATTAGATGAGAGCACTAGAGACACATGATAAAAGACAAAGGCTAACAATTTAGAGAAAAAAGTGAGAGGGGGAAAAACAACTGCCGGAGAGTAAAAGCGGCAGCCACAGAATAGAGTAACAAACCATAAAGAAGCATTGCATAAATCACAGGACAGGCGTCTCAGGGTGGAGGATAGCCCTGTTATCCCACCCCACCCCACCCCATCTCTGCTCCGCTTCCTAGCATGGAGGTTTTATCACATTACCTGCTTTTAAAAGCAGTTCTCAGGACAGTCTGGTGGCACCTGCCTGCAATTCCAGCGTTTAGGAGGTGGAGGGAGGACAGTCAGGAATGCAAGGATGTCCTCAGCCACAGAGGGCACTGGGGGCTAGCCTGAGCTATGCGAGGACCTGACAAAGGCAGGGAGGGCGGCAAACACCAAAAACTAAAAGCAGCTCTTTATCTGTCCTCAGAGAGTTAGGAGACACAGGGCTATCCAGTCCACACACTAGAAAACCTAGTCGGGGCGGAAACACCAGGTTTGACACAAGTCTCTATAGTATGCACTGTACAGTTTGTGCACGGAGGACCTACTGACAGAGCAGATCTAACCCCACAGAGCCGTTAGTCATCTGGTTCCTGCTCCCCTGTTAGTGCTCTCTCATTTCTTCATTTCCCACTTCTGACTTCAGGCTCTAGCAATGCCATCACTTGTATTCAGCACAGTGTGTCTGTTGCAGAATGTTTAACTAGGCAAAGATGTGTTACCTATGTTTATGCTGCATTTGTTTAACGATGTAAAGATGATGTTGCCTTAGGGGGCTGGCGGGCAGAGAGAAGTCAGAGGAGGAATGTGGGCTTGAGAAGAGAGAGGGAGAACAAGAAGGAGAGAACAAGGGAGAAAGAGGAGAAAGAGGGAGACACCTGGGGCCAGCCAGCCAGGCAGCCACCAGCAGCCAGAGTAGGACAGACAGTAAAAAGCCCAAAGGCAAAACACAGATGTAGAGAAACAGGTTAAATCAAACTCTAAGTGCTAGTGGGACAAGCACAAACTAAGGCCAAGCATTCATAACTAATCATAGGTCTCCATAAGTCTCCGTGTCATGATTTGGGAGCTGGTGGTGGCCAAAAAGAAAGCCAGCTACGTGTGTCAAGCCAGAGCCCTGCTTCTGCACATCACGTCCCTGGGAAAGAGTTTCCTTAGTTCCACTTAGCTCATCACCTCTGTTTTCCAAAACTCTCTACTTCCCTAGAAGACTGGGTTCTTTAATGTGTAGCTAACAAATACTTAGTAAATGAAGATGCCGAAGGACACAGAGAGGCTAGCAAGAATGACACCGAACAGCTGACCCCCGACCACAGACTAGGGAGGAAAGGCAGAGCGAAGGAAGAAAAACTACCAATCCACCAGAAACCACAAGAGCCCTGTAAGGGCTGGGAACAAAAAACACGGGACCACGAAGGTTACAGACGCGGGAATCTACCTGGCAGTTCTAAGGTGTGCTGATGTCCACATGCAGCAGGAAGTCAAAATCATTAGCTAATGCAGACAGCGGAGGATGAGGCCCCGTTACCAGAAGGAGCGGCAACTTACACGGTCTGTTTCCAATAAGGAATCTCTTATGCTTACTGAACTGTTATGACGTATTTACATTTACACTACTTCCCATCAAACACCTGAAGAAATCCAGGCTTGCAAAGGACACCGCACCAAGCTGCCACTTTAAAGAGGGAGGAAAAGGAAAATAAAGGCTAACAAAGAGAAATGCCAGAACACTCTTACGTGATGCGGTAAGTTCCTGCTACAAAAATGAAGACAGATATGCCTTCTGACAGCTACCAGGAATTTTCCTTAAAAACTGCTAGCTCCCCACCCTAACCCACCCTCAATTTTTATCTGTGCTGCTGCTGCCACTGCTACCAACTTGATCAAGATGGTGAGACCACACCTTAAGGATGACAAGTCCAGAAGCCCCTTCCTGAAGGAACTTTCCTGAATGGGTGCTGCCATGAGACTTTACGTACAATAAAAACAAACTTTTACTTCTAAAACCTAATTTTATTTAGGATGTCTGTCACAGCTGAATCTAAAATAAAACAATAATAAAAACAAACAAAATGAGGGGAATCAGGGGATAGTGCCAATGTGGGGATGGGAAAATTACTCAATTGTATTTGCAAAAATTAACAATCCCTAAATTCTGTTTTGTTCAACATGAGATTTCACCATGAAACCCAGGCTGGCCTGGAATTTCCAATCCTCCTGACTCAGGCTTCCAAGTGCTTGGATTATATGCATGTAGCACACCTGTGGATTCCTGAGTTCTGCGGATGGAGCAATCCCATTCTAATGCACTGCTTGCTCCAATGCATGGCTGTGGGTTAGGACAAGCCGCGGGTGCTGATGGAGCAATCCCATTCTAATGCACGGCTGTGGTAAGTTAGGATAAGCCACGGGTGCCAGACTTCTGCTATGAAAAGATCACAATACTTTTGAAGTTTATTGTTGTGTATGTGTGTGTGCTTGTGTGTGGTGTGTAGTGTGCGCGAGTGTACGTGTGTCCCAGGTGTGAAGAAACCTGCAGAGACAAGAAGGGATGTTGGAACCCAAGAGCTGGAGTTACAGGCAGGTGTAGGGCATCTGACATGGGTTCCTAGACAGTGCAGAAGGTGTTCTTAACCCCTGAGCATCTCTCCAGGCCAAGATCAAAGTACTTTTGAGAAAAGTAATGGGTTTCTGGGCATAGTGGAAGGAATTAATGAACAATCAGAGGAGACGCTAGGTGATACAGAGAACATGAAATAGATGGATTTGAGGATTTTGTTTAAAACATAATGGAGATGATGTCTAAAAGCTATGCCAACAAGCTATATACAAACAGCCTTGGTTTTTCACACACACACACACACACACACACACACACACACACACACAAACAAAACAAAACAAAACAAAACAAAAACACCAAAAAACCAGAAAGCTCCTATTAAAATAGGTTCTTTGCTTGATGGGGGTACCTAACCTTTCAGAAAGTATTTCTCAAAAAGTCTGCTTTCACAACACACTCTCTGCTCTTCCTTTATGATACCGCCGTAACTACTGAGTGCTAATGACTTCTATCAAAGTAGACTGACAGAAGAAATACAGGATTATGTCCGCTCTTGGTAAAGCCAACAGAATTAAGGGAACTTGCTTTTGGTTAACTGAAGGTCAACCACTGACTTCCAAAAACCTCCCCCACTATCATATATTCTAATACAGAAATGGAAATAACTAACTTCTACTAGCTGAGCAGATCCTTGTCAAGAGAGGCACCACTGATGGAGAACAGTGTCAAGACAGTCTATTTATACTCTGCAAAGCTACTTGTTAGGAGGGTGGGTCAAAGTGCAGCCAAGCTACAGAACAGGCAAAAGGAAGAAACTGTAGTGTGGTGATGGTTCACAACCAATGCAACACTGGACCAAAGGGTCATCGCAAATATAACAGCAGCAGATTCTAAGATTCAGCGAGGTCTGTGGGCCAGAAGTTGCCTTTCTGATATCACACAAGGTCAGGTGTTCCTAACCAATGCTTCACTCCTAATTCCCAAATATCCATTACAGAGAGGGTAGGGTGAGGCAGGGTGAGATCCAATCCCTTCACCAGATGGAGCATTTGCCAAATCCAGTACTAAATGTGATTCAAAATGAGGTGAGAAATCTTCAAACTAGTGTTCTTGGCAAACCGACACAGGGTAACTTTCTTAAACCTAAATGTAAGTAAGTATGGAAACATAAATCCAACAAGCCACAAAACAGACCTTAGAAATCCTCACAATTTCCAAGATCAAGCACAGAAATATTTTATTTCAAAGTCCTACCGTTTCCCTAAAAGGTTTCATAAGAAAATGATCAAAAGCAATGCAAAAATCCCTAACATGTATAAATCAAGATGTTTTATTTATTGCAAAATGTGTACGGATGCTAATAGGAATAACAAGCAGGATCAACTGGTAACTATGGAAGCGTTGAATGCATCACAATAGTCACAAACTGTCACCTATCACCCTGGCTCAGGCTCCTCAGGCACTTATGCGTCTGACAAGAATTTCAAATACTACAGTTATTGGGACCTAGTAAAATTTGACACAATACTGCTTTATAGGACTTACAGTATATCACCATGTAAGGCGCACATGCACAGTATTCAGCAAAGGGCACCTTTACAACAAAGACAAGTTAAGAATATTATACACCGCATGCATTTTTGTTTCTGCCTACAAAAGGCTCGTGCCTATTATATTTCGAGTACTAGAAAGGTCTAAACATCACGATGAAGACTATCTGGCAACTGACCCTATTTTAGTTTGACATCGACATAGAAGCAAGGATAGAGAAGGGAGCCAGACTCCATACACACTCACCCAGGTAACGACACTCTCAAACCCCTCTTCACTCATCCCCTTAACATCCTCAGCACAGCTGTATTGCTGGTGAGAGAACATGAACACACAGGGGTAGCTGAGAGACATCTGCCTGTTGGCAAAGCAGAACAAAACGTGCCACCATCGCAAGCAGTTGATCAAAAGGTGAAGCCAAGAAAAAAAAAAAAAAACTGAACAATGAGAAGGCGGGTTTGGAGTTCAGGAGTTAAAGCAATGCCCCTTAGGCTCTTAATCCAGATAATCGGTGATACTGGCAACATTGGGAGGAAGAGCTGTGGAATGTAAATCCCACCAAACTGGAGCCTACACTACGCGTTCAAACTGGCTTCACCTCGACTGCTCTCCAATCTTGAAAAACCATAGACAGGTTATCCACGAAAACACAGGCTCACGCGGAAGAGTTCTCCTAATGAATTAATTTCTCACACGTTCCCCCTTAGCCCAAATCTGCTCTTCCTTCACCTCGGCTTGAAGCTGGATCCCAAACCTAAGTCTGCAGGGTGAAAGGACAGAGAAGAACTGGGGGCCTCTGGCAGGAGGACCCAGAGCGCAAGCCACTGGCCTTCCTGAGCCTCCAGAACCTCGACGGAGTCTAAGACACCGTGCAATCGTTAACACCTAAGATCCAGGGCGGCCCCATCGTACAGCAGGCATTCTGCAGAATGCCCGATCACTCTTATACTTAAATAAAGCAGACAAGCCCGAGCGCTCGGCTCTCAAGACTCAGCACGTCAACCACCACTGCAGGAAAAACAGCTGCTACTTCATAAGAGGGTAAAACGAGGAGAGAGGGAAGGGGGGAAAAAAAGACACTCGGCCCGCGGCGCAGGCGAAACTCATCGCACTCCGAGAGTTTCTTTGAATCTCGGGGAGGCTGCGGTTACGTTGACACCAAAGTGCTCGGGATCGACTTCCCGAGGGCCTCGGCCGGGCCACCCGGCCCTTCAGATCTCAGGGCAAGGGGAGAAGGGAGCCGGCAGGGTGCTGGAAACTTGACTGGGGAGCCTGGGCAGAGGGGCGGCAAGGGAGGGCCGCGCGGCCCGGGGCCTCCGCCCCAGCGCGGGCGGCGGCCCAAGTCACCTGTGAAGGAGTCGGGATAGATGGACTCCAGAGCCTCCAACTCGTTGCGTTGCTCCTCGCCGTAGTCTGTCATCGTGGCCCGCGCTGCTGCTGCCCGTGCATCGGCGCGACACCCCGGCGGCAGGCTGCAGCGGACACGGCGGCCGCCGGCTGCCGGGCGGGCGCACGCGCAGAGTCCAGGGGGGAAAAAGGCCTGGACCCACGCCTGGCCCCGGCCTGCAGAAGGGGGGGGGGGGATCCCGATGCCTGCGTCGGAGTTCGACTCGTCGTGCCTGGAGCGCGGGCCGCTGATTGGTCGCCTGCCTACGGCCTCTCGGGATTGGCTGGAGCGTGACGGCGGCCGCTCGGGATTGGCTGGAGCGTGACGGCGGCCGGTCCGGATTGGCTGGAGCGTGACGGCGGCCGGCTGGGCGTTCCGGACGGCGGGCCCGCGCCTGCCGCTGGGCCGTGCGGACTTCGGATGGAGATGCCCGGCGGAGCGGCATCCTCACTCTGCGCTCGAGAAGTCGGGCCTGGAAGTCTGGCTCCCGCGTGGGGGCGCGGTGGCGTCACCGGGGGCGGGGCCTGGAGGTCCGCCGGCTTCCGCCTTTCTGGGTTCCCAGCCCAGCGAGCGGGTCCTGGGCCTGAGCAGCTTGGGGGCCGCGGCTGGCGGGAATCTGGGGGTCCCTCGAGGGCTAGATCAGGACGGGCTCTTGTAAGCCGAGCTGGGAGGTCTGGGGAGCCGCGCGGGGCGCGTCCCCGGGTCGGCCCCGGGCTGCTGGGGAAGCAGGGCACCCCGGGTCGAACCGGAGGCTGGACATCCGAGCCCCGGGTTCAGCAGATCTTGGGCTTCCCGTGAAAGCCGGGAAAGGAACGAGGCGGAAAGTTGTTCCTCATGATGTCTACAGTTGTGTTTCAGCGAACGGGTGGGGGTGCGGGTTTTAGTCCCAGTTTTGACATTGCAAACATTGCGGTGAAATGCCGAGGAAAGGACCCAACGTTTGGTCTAGTTCCACTTCTGCTAATAGACTGGTCAGCTTCAAGTGCATCCCAACGATCAAAATGTCAATAACCGTAACAGCAAAAAACTAGGAAAACAATTTGCATACGTTTTTTTGTGAAATAAGTATTCCAACAGTTAGTTGGGTTTTTTATTTGTTTACAGTAAAGGAGCACGTGTTAGCTTAAACAAAATGTGGGGAGATGTGCCTCGGGGAAAATAACCCAACATACTAAAAATATTCCCTCAAGATTTCTTTGCCTTTCTTGTGTATTAAAGCTCGCTTTACTTGTATAATGTTTTCTTGCTAAATTATGATGGTTCCGTAGATGAGTTTTTTTAGGTTTTCTAGGTTTTGACTGTGGTCGTTGCTTGGATTCATCTTGCTGTCTAGCCTGGGATTGCTAGAATTTGTGATACCCCTAATCTGGCCTCAGTAGTGCTGTGATTGTAGGTGTGAGCCACAGTGCTCCACTTACACATATGATTTTGTTTTGTTTTGTTTTTGTTTGTTTATTAGCAAGTATTGCTTACTTATAGCAGAGGAATAAATTATGTCCAATGTATTCAGGCACATTTTACTTCTGATTTCTTGTTTCAGATATATTAAGAGTTGATTTTTGTCTCCTTTTAAACTTTAAAGGAGGGAAAAGGAAACTCCTGAGATACTGGATATCAAGGTCCACGAAGTAACATTTCAATTACAAACTGCTTATTTGCTTATTCAAAGGAATTCCAATGATTTGTTACCAGATGGACTATGGGGAGCAGCTACTTCAGTTTTTGGTTTTGGTTTTGTTTGTTTGTTTGTTTGTTTGTTTCGAGACAGGATTTCTCTGGCTAGCCCTGGCTGTCCTGGAACTCGCTCTGTAGACCCAGTTGGCTTTGAACTCAGTGGTCTGCCTACTGAGTGTTGGGATTCAAGGCGTGTGCCACCACCACTGGGCTGCTTCACAGTTCTTAAGGAAACAGTTCACTTGGCGGGTTGGAGGCCAGTGGGGAGCATGCGCAGTGATCTGTGTGCATATTGTGAGGAATTCTTTTTTTTTTTTTTTTTTTTTTGGTTTTTTCGAGACAGGGTTTCTCTGTGTAGCTTTGCGCCTTTCCTGGAGCTCACTTGGTAGCCCAGGCTGGCCTCGAACTCACAGAGATCGGCCTGCCTCCGCCTCCCGAGTGCTGGGATTAAAGGCGTGCGCCACCAACGCCCGGCATAGTGAGGAATTCTTACTGTGAGGAATTCTTGAAGTGTTAGAATAAGTGGCGCAGACTTGTATTTGAGACAGTGGCATTTGAGACACGCTACTGTGGCTACTCCATGGCACAAATCTGAAAGCATAGAGGATGCTATGGCGATAACCTAAGCAAACGGATGCTGATTTGAACAAACAGAAGGATCAAGTTCGAGGTATGTTTTGAAAATAAAAGTGTCAGGATTTGGTGCTGGTGAGTAAGGGAAGAATCAAGATGAATCTGGCTAGACAAACTTGGAAGATAAAGTTCTGATGATCAGAAATGTCAGGTGAAGAAGACAGCATGCATTTGACAAAGACGATGACACATGCATGTTTCAGTGACCCCGAGTCAAAGGACAAGGCAAACAAATCCTAACAGAATAACAACGAAAACAACCTGGCAAAATAGGTGAGGTACAAACAACCAGCGTAAAACTCACAGACCGGCTACTATTTGCATGTTTCTGTCTTGTAAGTGGAATGGCCCTTTGTTTGATCACCTCTTTATGAAGTGAAGTTGTGGTACATCCCTAACTTGTCTGCCCAGCTCAGAGACACAGATAAGTGTAGTCCTCACCCCTCATCGAAGAAGCGGCTTTCCAAAGCAGACTGAGAAACAGAAACCACAATTCATCCGCATGCAGACAACAACTGACCATGGGGTATCCAGCCCCAACTGATACATCTTGCACACAGCCCATACACCTAAGGCTGGGGAACATGGCAGAAAAGGGAGGGAAAATTGAAGGATCCAAAGGACTAGGAAGTCTGCTGCAAGATTGTCTCCTAGATATGACAAGTATCTATGCCCAGGAAATCTCAAAAATATGAGCGCTTAAACAAGACCTGAACAATGACAATACTAATTGACAAGCCAGCAGGGAAGGGGGCTCATAGGGCCTCACCACTTGATGAAGAGCCACAGATAATTTCTAGCTGCCGAGAAGGAGAGAATTAGTCTTCCTCACAGATGCACCCTAAATGATTATCCAATCCCAAGTGGTTAGCCCAAAAAAGTACACATATAAGCAACACTAAATAAACTCAGCAGATTGCATTTTTATACATACTCCCATATATATGTGTGTGTGTGTATGTATATATATACATATATATATACATATATATATATGAAACAATAAAGAATAAGAGGTCATTGATTTTAAAGGGTGGTGTGAGTCTTAGAGAGGGGGAAATGACGTAATTATGTTTTAATAAATAAAATTTTAAGAACTACAATTAGCAAAAAGTAAAAGGAATTCTGAGTAAACTTTTTCATGCCTATTATATGTCAGCAAACTAAAGGTTTTTATGAATGAATTTGTGTGTGTGTGTGTGTGTGTGTGTGTGTGTGTGTGTGTGTTGCTGGAGATCAAACCCAGGGATTTGCACAGACTTGGCAATGCCCTACCACCGAGTTACATCCCCAGTCCTTGAGGGAGACAGTGCCTTAGGAGAGTTCCAGGGCTGCTGTTACGAAGAAACCTGCAACTCTTACTTTGTCGTACGTGAATGGAGATTAATTATTAAGCATGTTCCGTTGATCTCTTGATTTCATTCTGCAGTAACGGGCGCTTGTAAGACAGGAAGCCCTTAGCTATAATTGTAGAAAATTCTCGAAGTGGGGATGATCCTTTTAGTGTTTCTGTTTTAACTTGTAAGTTAATGATGTTAGGAGCAGGCCTACTTCAGGCTCTGCCAGGCGACAAACAGTGTAATGAGTGGTCCTCATGGTTCAGGGGACAGAATCAAGGGAGCTCTGCTTAGCCACGTACAGCTACACAAGCTTGTAAGACTGCAGAAAGTCCAGGAAGCACTGTGTATTAAGGCATGCTGAGAACTCAAAAATACAATACCAGCTTTATTAATAATTTTTAAAAATACAAAATTGACCAGAAACCGCAGGAATAAGGGGCCTGAGGTGAGGTGTTGAGAGGACCAAGGATGATGACAGGTGAAGATAAAAAATGAAGAGAAAAGCAATAGCTGGGACCAGGAAGTGCTGCATGTGCTATTGACTCGTGCTAAGTAAGTTTGCTTAGAAGTACAACATCCTATTGTTTTTTTATCTGCAGTACAGCAGCCACACCTGATCCTATCGCTGCCTCAGCTGCTGACTGGGCCTGCACAGCCACCGGAGATGCAGCCCACCCAGGAGAGCCTTTGTGTCCTGAGGCCACCACCTCAGCTGCCTCTACTTAGGGAGACAAATATTGTTTTAACTAAATCTCTAACTTCTTATTTTACCAATAAAGACTCGGGAGCCAGATGCTGGAGTGAAGACCTGCTAGCTCAGAAAGGCAAAGAAAGCAGCGTGCTGACTGACCTTCCTCCTCTGCTGTTGTCCTAGAAAGAGCTCTCTTCTAGGCCACCTCCTCCAACCAGATGTTTCTCCCTACTTCCTGTGCCTCTCTCTCTCTGACCCCACTCCCCTCACTCTCTATGGTTACGTCCAGTCAACTGGTGGCTTGCTCCACCTCTCGAACTATGGTTGACTTTATTTAAATAATGCAACCTTGGGGTTCAACAGCGTGATCAGATATCTCACAACATCACATATACTATTTGCAGAGGGGAAATGGCCAAGGTCAACAGAGATCTAAGTCAGACAATGTTGGCAAAGAGAACATGGGATCCCTCAGACACAGCTGCCCAAGGACTGATAACCACAGACCGTGGGGAAGAGTCAGGTCCCCAGACATGGTAACTGACTCCTGCAAGGCACTAGCTCGAGCGTCAGATGGGCCTTGCCAAGTCCTTCCTAGACAAGAACACAGACCTAAAGTTCCCTTTGTCCTTTCAGCAGAGCCTCTAAGGAAGACCTGGGTCATTTTATTGTTAGTATTTAAGTTTCTTCTATAAGTACTAGAAAGTTACAGTGGCTATTTCTTAGTTGATATTACTGTTACTGTTCTTGTTGCTGCAGCCAGGTACCTAACAAGAAACAGATCAGTGAAGGATTTCACAGTCATAAGGATATATGGAATATATATATATATATG